AGGGAAAGAACCCAATAAAGTATTTTAAAATATAGGCTATTATTAATTTTTATAAATGTTATGCACCTAATACCGATTAAAGAGCAAACTGATTAATTACATTTTTAAAATTCATTAAACATTCTTAAATATATTTGCAGTTTGTGAAATGAGGGATGATCTATATGTGTTTCAATGTATTATGCATGCCTGTAGATATGCTGTCTTTACATTACTGGGTGGCTGATTTCTTGTAGATGCGTTTTACTTCCTCAACTAAATGGATGCTTCTGTCCTTCCAATGTCGTGCACATGGTATATGCTTAATGATGACTATTCTGAGCAAATAACATAAAATATATTGTTTGTGTGGGGGGAAGCAGGTAGTAGCAATAATTTATTTTTAAAAAAGGAATTGAGATGGCTGAATTCTAAAGCAATACTTACTGTTAAAGTATGGAGCAGTGAAAACATAGTTATCGTTATCAAGACTTCTTTTATAAAAGCTGTCCTCATATGTTTCTGGGTTTTCTTGCCAATTTTCTCCAGCCCTAAGGAGGAAATGGGTCATCATTTTTATTCTTTAATCTACTTGATAACTTACTTTTCCTTTGTGGACACCACTGAACTTTACAGATATGTCTGTATCTCAGGTATGTCTAAGGAAGTTAGTGGTAATTGATGGTGTAAATGACATTCACTACTAAGCAACAGATCTGCTTAGAATTAAACTAAGGAGCAGAAAAAGCTGACGTCTAGTTTTACTCTGCCATTTACTAGCCAGGTAATTATAGACAAGTCAGTTAATAAGTCAATTAATATTAACAAGCCTATATAGCCCACTTTATGGACTCTTCTGAAGATAAACACAGATAAAATCCATAAAACAGTGAAAACAATGAAGTGCTATGCAAACACTGCCAACTGACATATTTGTAATAACCATTATGTTCATTTAACCAGGTTAGCTTATGTCTATGAAGAAAGAAATCTCTTTGATAACCTCTTCAATGTTGTAATATATATGACAAGCAAAAACATCACTGAAGAATTATAATAGCATTTTTGAAAGAAATGGAGTATTTTAATAATTAAGTACTTCAGGTAAATTCCAATTTAACTACTAATAATGATCAGTTTCTCTGAAGAATGGCTTCCTTATACAGTAAGGTACAGATCCTTGGAGTAGTCCTTTGTAATCTAGTAATTTTTACAGATGCTATTTGAACTTACTCTTTGGGATAAACTCTGGTAATCCCACCATCAGTCACAACAAACCGTGCTTTCACTCCCTTGCTGGAACAGAAGACAAAAGAAGGAAATTTCATTCAACTTATTCTTTGTAAGGTATTAGTTTAGGTGTTGGTGGTACAAAGAGAAACAGAATGAGTTCCTGAGATAAAGGAAGCCGAAGTAAATGTATCAATAGATGTAAACTATGTTTTAATAAAACATAGTTTTTAGATATTTCTTAAAATATCTAAGAAATAGTTAAAGGGAGGATGCTTAAGGAAGACATTTCATAAGAAATAATGAGATAGCTGCATGCTGAAGATGGAATGGGAGTTAACACAGATGACAGGAAGACATCACATGTAAAGAAAAGAGTACATGTAAGGGAAAGCTAGTAAAAAGTGGTAGTATTTGGTGTAATAAAAGCATAAGGCATGAGGTGAGAAACAACAGGAGGTAAAGTTGCAAGTATAAGCTTCTGAAGAATGGTCAGCTCATGAGTGATCGTGAAATCCACGCTGGAGAGGCTGCTTCATAGCCCTGAAGTTAGGGCTCCATTTTAAAAGTGAGACTCTGGAAAGTATGAGTTACATGGAGAACAGCCTGGGGCCTGTGGGCAGAGGAATTGGAAGCCCTAAAGGCGGAGACATCAGCTGCTGTGATTTCTTAGAAATGGAAAACAATTAGAACCCTGTATGAAGAAGAGAGGAAAACATTTTTAGAAACAATATTTAGCACTTGGTGGTTGATTGGAAATGGGGCGGAGAAGAGACTGGAAACGAGAACCATTGTCAGATTTCTCCCTGTCTTGACTGGCTGTAGGGCAGGGCTATTAGAAAGCTAACTGAACATGCACTAGAAGCCCTAGTTTACCACCAACACTGAGACACACGCAAGCACACCTATTTAATTTGATCATTCACACTGTAGCATATACATGCGTAAAGCTGAGTAACGGTAGATGTTAGTCCTGACACACACCCGCAACTGAAAATTCAAGTTGTCAACAACTGCAAAATGGTTTTCTTGGGAAACGGTTATTAAAGATAAATAATAAACTTTAAATTTGAGACTTATTTTCCAAAAATTTCCCAGAGAGAAGCTAAACTGAAATACAGAATATATATCTTTTATTAATAAGACAAACACTTACATGTTTTTCTGCTTACTCCAGTAATTCTGGACAAGTTCATTTGTAAAGCCGGCATCCAGCAAGACTCTATTAATCAAGTCCGTATTGCCTAACAGAGAAGGAAAGCCTCAATTACACCCACATAGTTTAATTAGGATAGTAATGAAACAAACATTTTCTATTTCCAGAAGCAATTTAGAGTGGATAATATTTCTATGAATTTAAAAATGTAACCTTATTAATTTTCTACATTTTTTATATGGTTCCTCTTCCATTTTTCAGGATATGCACAAAATTAGAAGTGGAAAAACCAATTCTAAATGAGGCAAATTATTTTATAAATGCTATCAAAGAGATAAGGATTCCAAAGTATCATAATTTCACAGACGATTGTATGCCTAAATATAAAATTATATAATACATATAGGGTTTTCTTTGTTTGTTTTTTTGTTTTCTGTTTTGGGGCCAAGAACAGAATAACTTATCACAGACCAGCATTGCTCCAAGACCGGCTTTTGGAATCTGCTGGTACTGATGAAAGAGCACAGGCTTCAGGCTGTCACTTCTGGAGTAACTGAAGAGAGTATTAGCCCAGGTTTGAAGGTAAGAGATGCCGAGGACCAAGGGTCAATGAATACACTCTCTTAAACAAAAAATGTTGCCTTCTTCCCTTTCTCTTGGCTTCTCTGCTCTAAGCCCATAAAGCTCTGAAATAACCTACAAGTACCAACTGAAACTTCACACTTCTTATTTCATTTTATTCAGATATGGAATATATGGCCTTACTTAATACTGTATTACCACAAGAGTTGGGGGTGGCATAGGCTAGAAAACATTTTAGTTCCTTTTAATTATTTTACCTCAATGTATCTTTCACTCAAGATTAAAGGATCAATTTAATCCATATTTTAGACTTCATTTCAATTCATTCTAGGAACTTTTATTACATTGTTTTAGAAACAATATAAAAAAATAATCCTTTTGGAAAGTGAGTGATATATTTTAATTCTTAAATCCTTTTAGGTAAAACAAAAGAGACCATTGTTTTAATCTGTAATATAAATCAATGTTGCAAGTAATTTCATAGTTTGATTCATATTTTCATTATGCTCTAAGCCTAAAATCAATCTTGAAATCTGTCTCCTGCAGCTGGTTACACGCAATAAATAGATTATTAGTATTAAGCTTTACCGTGTTATACATTTACGCTTTTCATTTTTACTTTAATTCAAAAATAAACAAGAATATGAAGAAGACAACCACTCTACAGCATTCACATTTAGGTAGTTTAATAAATTAACTTAAACAATAGGTGAGAATTGTAATTTTACTGATGGATTAAGTACTTTTATAAAGCAAAGTTAAACTTGTACCTCTTTAAAAAAAAACCATTTAGGACAGTTACATTTCAATCACCGATATCTACTTTTAGAGTTGGTTTTACAGATTATTGATAACATGAGGTAAAGTATGATTGAGAAAAATCTATAACACTGTCACAGGAAAATAGAAATTATTTCATAGCTATTAACTCATAATAACACATCTAGTAAGTTCTCAATTTTTTATATAATCATCTCAAACATTTCCCACAGAATTATAGGGGAGGCAGAAAAAAGTTAACTGAAATGAAGGAAGAGACTGAAGAACATAAATAACACTATGGATATTAGCGCTATTTTACTAAAAGTATTTTCTTTAAATACTTGTACTTCTCTGAGACGAGACATCCAATTAAAGTAGTATTCAATAATCTTATTATTTCAGTTCTCTCTTGGAAATAAATACTAACATTGTAAAGGTTCTGCTCAGAACGAGCTCACATTGAGCAGAAACTTTTGAAATCACACGTGTTCAGGCATGATCAATGCAGACTTCACCCACCCATGACAGGTTTCCAGAGTGGCTCTTTCGAGCAACCGGCTAACTCGTCTTAGAGGTGCTCAGTAGTTATTTCTTATGAGATAAATGTAAGTTTGAGAGACAGCTTTAAGAAGGGATTTTCTTTTTTTTATAACTGAGGAAGTGCTTTATTTAACCCTTCCTGATAGCAGGAGAAATAACTTTTAAGAAGAAAAGAAAGAGAGAGAAGAAGGACGAGGGAGAGCAGAAGGGAGAAGATGCAAGAAGGAGAAAGAGAACAAACAAGTCATTTATGTGTACTTTTATCTTCAAGTTATATTTACTAAGGTAATTTTTGCCAGGCAGTTGGTTTTTCTTATTTCCTAAGTATACTGCCTTTTCTCCTGATTGTACTTTTTAATAAATAGGGTAATTTTAGGAAGAAAAAACAGTTAAGATTTTTAAATGTTTTAAGAGCCCAGAATCCACAAATCTCTATGAGGTTTCAGAGTATAAATGATGCAGACTTCTCGGAAAGACAAATAAAATTGTTAAAAACTACTAAAATTTAGCCATTCTAACTTGATTTACTTCATAAAATGGGAAATTATAGATGCATATTTTTTAAGAATAACGTTAACTGTGATCAAGATAAAACTCCAGGACAAGGGGAAGATGGCGGAAGAGTAAGTCGAGGAGATCACCTTCCTCCCCACAGATAGACCAGAAATACATCTACACGTGGAACAACTCCTACAGAACACCTACTGAACGCTGGCAGAAGACCTCAGACCTCCCAAAAGGCAAGAAACTCCCCACGTACCTGGGTAGGGCAAGAGAAAAAAGAATAAACAGAGACAAAAGAATAGGGACGGCACCTGCACCAGTGGGAGGGAGCTGTGAAGGAGGAAAAGTCTCCACACACTGGGAGCCCCTTCGCGGGCGGAGACTGTGGGGGGTGGAGGGGGGAGCTTCGGAGCCGCAGAGGAGAGCGCAGCCACAGGGGCGCGGAGGGCAAAGCGGAGAGATTTGCGCACAGAGGATCGGCGCCGACCGGCGCTCACCCCCCCGAGAGGCTTGTTTGCTCACCCGCCGGGGCGGGCGGGGCTGGGAGCTGAGGCTTGGGCTTCGGTCGGAGCGGAGGGAGAGGGCTGGCGGCGTGAACACAGCCTGAAGGGGAATAGTGCGCCACAGCTAGCCGGGAGGGAGTCCGGGGAAAAGTCTGGACCTGCCGAAGAGGCGAGAGACTTTTTCTTCCCTCTGTTTCCTGGTGCGCGAGGAGAGGGGATTAAGAACGCTGCTTAAAGGAGATCCGGAGATAGGCGCGAGCCGCGGCTAAAAGCGCGGACCCCAGAGACGTGCGTGAGATGCGAAGGCTGCTGCCGCCACCACCAAGAAGCCTGTGTGCGAGCACGGGTCACTATCCACACCCCGCTTCCGGGGAGCCTGTGCAGCCCGCCACTGCCAGGGTCCCGGGATCCAGGAACAACTTCCCCGGGAGAACGCACGGCGCGCCTCAGGCTGGTGCAACTTCACGCGGGCCTCTGCCGCCGGAGGCCCGCCCCGCACTGCGTGCCCCTCCATTCCCCCGGCCTGAGTGAGCCAGAGTCCCCAAAGCAGCTGCTTCTTTAACCCTGTCCTTTAAAGAACCCTGTTCTTTAATCCTGAGCAAAGAACAGACGCCCTCCAGCGACCTACAAGCAGAGGCGGGGTCAAATTCAAAGCTGAACCCTGGGAGCTGTGCGAACAAAGAAGAGAAAGGGAAATCTCTCCCAGCACCCTCAGAAGCAGCAGATTAAATCTCCACAATCAACTTGATGTACCCTGCATCTGTGCAATACCTGAATAGACAACAAATCATCCCAAAATTGAAGAGCTGTGTGGATGAAAGGCTCTTGGTGCTGCAGCCAGGAGTCAGTGCTGTGCCTCTGAGGTGGGAGAGCCAACTTCAGGACACTGGTCCACAAGAGACCTCCCAGCTCCACATAATATCAAACGGCAAAAATCTCCCAGAGATCTCCATCTCAACACCAGCACCCAGCTTCACTCAACGACCAGCAAGCTACAGTGCTGGACACCCTATGCCAAACAACTAGCAAGACAGGAACACAACCCCACCCATTAGCAGAGAGGCTGCCTCAAGTCGTAATAAGGCCACAGACACCCCAAAACACACCACCAGACGTGGACCTGCCCACCAGAAAGACAAGATCCAGCCTCACCAACCAGAACACAGGCACTAGTCCCCTCCACCAGGAAGCCTACACAACCCACTGAACCAACTTTAGCCACTGGAGACAGACACCAAAAACAACGGGAACTACGAACCGGCAGCCTGCAAAAAGGAGACCCCCAAACACAGTAAGATAAGCAAAATGAGAAGACAGAAAAACACACAGCAGATGAAGGAGCAAGATAAAAACCCACCAGACATTAACAAATGAAGAGGAAATAGGCAGTCTACTTGGAAAGGAATTCAGAATAATGATAGTAAAGATGATCTAAAATCTTGGAAATAGAAGAGACAAAATGCAAGAAACATTTAACAAGGACCTAGAAGAACTAAAGATGAAACAAACAATGATGAACAACACAATAAATGAAATGAAAAATACTCTAGATGGGATCAATAGCAGAATAAATGAGGCAGAAGAACGGATAAGTGACCTGGAAGATAAAATAGTGGAAATAACTACTGCAGAGCAGAATAAAGAAAAAAGAATGAAAAGAACTGAGGACAGTCTCAGAGACCTCTGGGACAACATTAAACGCACCAACATTCGAATTATAGGGGTTCCAGAAGAAGAAGAGAAAAAGAAAGGGACTGAGAAAATATTTGAAGAGATTATAGTTGAAAACTTCCCTAATATGGGAAAGGAAATCGTTAATCAAGTCCAGGAAGCACAGAGAGTCCCATACAGGATAAATTCAAGGAGAAATACGCCAAGACACATATTAATCAAACTGTCAAAAACTAAATACAAAGAAAGCATATTAAAAGCAGCAAGGGAAAAACAACAAATAACACACAAGGGAATCCCCATAAGGTTAACAGCTGATCTCTCAGCAGAAACTCTACAAGCCAGAAGGGAGTGGCAGGACATACTGAAAGTGATGAAGGAGAAAAACCTGCAACCAAGATTACTCTACCCAGCAAGGATCTCATTCAGATTTGATGGAGAAATTAAAACCTTTACAGACAAGCAAAAGCTGAGAGAGTTCAGCACCACCAAACCAGCTTTACAACAAATGCTAAAGGAACTTCTCTAGACAAAAACACAAGAGAAGGAAAAGTCCTATAATAACGAACCCAAAACAATTTAGAAAATGGGAATAGGAACATACATATCGATAATTACCTTAAATGTAAATGGACTAAATGCTCCCACCAAAAGACACAGATTGGCTGAATGGATACAAAAACAAGACCCATATATATGCTGTCTACAAGAGACCCACTTCAGACCTAGAGACACATACAGACTGAAAGTAAGGAGATGGAAAAAGATATTCCATGCAAACGGAAACCAAAAGAAAGCTGGAGTAGCAATTCTCATATCAGACAAAATAGACTTTAAACTAAAGACAATCAGAAGAGACAAAGAAGGACACTACATAATGATCAAGGGATCGATCCAACAAGAAGATATAACAATTGTAAATACTTATGCACCCAACATAGGAGCACCTCAGTACATAAGGCAAAAACTAGCAGCCACAATAGGGGAAATCGACAGTAACACATTCATAGTAGGGGACTTTAACACCCCACTTTCACCAATGGACAGATCATCCAAAATGAAAATAAACTGAGGAAAAACAAGATTTAAATGATACATTAAACAAGATGGACTTAATTGATATTTATAGGACACTCCATCCAAAAACAACAGAATACATATTTTTCTCAAGTACTCGTGGAACATTCTCCAGGACAGCTCATATCTTGGGTCACAAATTAAGCCTTGGTATATTTAAGAAAATTGAAATTGAATCAAGTATCTTTTCCGACCACAGCGCCATGAGACTAGATATCAATTACAGGAAAAGATCTGTAAAAAATACAAACACATGGAGGCTAAACAATACACTACTTAATAACGAGGTGATCACTGAAGAAATCAAAGAGGAAATCAAAAAATACCTAGAATCAAATGACAATGGAGACACGATGACCGAAAACCTATGGGATGCAGCAAAAGCAGTTCTAAGAGGGAAGTTTATAGCAATACAATCCTACCTTAAGAAACAGGAAACATCTCAAATAAACAACCTAAACTTGCACCTAAAACAATTAGAGAAAGAAGAACAAAAAAACCCCCAAAGTTAGCAGAGGAAAGAAATCATAAAAAGCAGATCAGAAATAAATGAAAAAGAAATGAAGGAAACGATAGCAAAGATCAGTAAAACTAAAAGCTGGTTCTTAGAGAAGATAAACAAAATTGATAAACCATTAGCCAGATTCATCAAGAAAAAAAGGGAGACAACTCAAATCAACAGAATTAGAAATGAAAAAGGAGAAGTAACAACTGACACTGCAGAAATACAAAAGATCATGAGAGATTACTACAAGCAACTCTATGCCAATAAAATGGACAACCTGGAAGAAATGGACCAATTCTTAGAAATGCACAAACTACCAAGGCTGAATCAGGAAGAAATAGAAAATATGAACAGACCAATCACAAACACTGAAATTGAAACTGTGGTTAAAAATCTTCCAACAAACAAAAGCCCAGGACCAGAAGCCTTCACAGGCGAATTCTATAAAACATTTAGAGAAGAGCTAACACCTATTCTTCTCAAACTCTTCCAAAATATAGCTGAGGGAGAAACACTCCCAAACTCATTCTACGAGGCCACCATCACCAATACCAAAACCAGACAAAGTTGTCACAAAGAAAGAAAACTACAGGCCAGTATCACTGATGAACATAGTTGCAGAAGTCCCCAACAAAGTACTAGCAAACAGAATCCAATAGCACATTAAAAGGATCATACACCATGATCAAGTGGGGTTTATTCCAGGAATGCAAGGATTCTTCAATATACACAAATCAATCAATGTGATAAACCATATTAACAAATTGAAGGAGAAAAACCATATGATCATCTCAATAGATGCAGACAAAGCTTTCGACAAAATTCAACACCCATTTATGTTAAAAACCCTGCAGAAAGTAGGCATAGAGGGAACTTAGCTCAATATAATAAAGGCCGTATATGACAAGCCCACAGCCAACATCATCCTCAATGGCGAAAAACTGAAAGCATTTCCACTAAGGTCAGGAACAAGACAAGGTTGCCCACTCTCACCACTCTTATTCAACATAGTTTTGGAAGTTTTAGCCACAGCAATCAGAGAAGAAAAGGAAATAAAAGGAATCCAAATCGGAAAAGAAGAAGTAAAGCTGTCACTGTTTGCAGATGACATGATACTATACATAGAGAATCCTAAAGATGCTACCAGAAAACTACTAGAGCTAATCAATGAATTTGGTAAAGTAGCAGGATACAAAATTAATGCACAGAAATCTCTGGCATTCCTATATACTAATGATGAAAAATCTGAAAGTGAAATCAAGAAAACACTCCCATTTACCATTGCAACAAAAAGAATAAAATATCTAGGAATAAACCTACCTAAGGAGACAAAAGACCTGTATGCAGAAAATTATAAGACACTGATGAAAGAAATTAAAGATGATACAAACAGATGGAGAGATATACCATGTTCTTGGATTGGAAGAATCAACATTGTGAAAATGACTCTACTTCCCAAAGCAATCTATAGATTCAATGCAATCCCTATCAAACTACCACTGGCATTTTTCACAGAACTAGAACAAAAAATTTCACAATTTGTATGGAAACACAAAAGACCCCGAATAGCCAAAGCAATCTTGAGAACAAAAAATGGAGCTGGAGGAATCAGGCTGCCTGACTTCAGACTATACTACAAAGCTACAGTAATCAAGACAGTATGGTACTGGCACAAAAACAGAAAGATAGATCAATGGAACAGGATAGAAAGCCCAGAGATAAATCCACACACATATAGTCACCTTATCTTTGATAAAGGAGGCAGGAATGTATAGTGGAGAAAGAACAGCCTCTTCAATAAGTGGTGCTGGGAAAACTGGACAGGTACATGTAAAAGTATGAGATTAGATCACTCCCTAACACCATACACAAAAATAAGCTCAAAATGGATTAAAGACCTAAATGTAAGGCCAGAAACTATCACACTCTTAGAGGAAAACATAGGCAGAACACTCTATGACATAAATCACAGCAAGATTCTTTTTGGCCCACCTCCCACAGAAATGGAAAAAAAACAAAAATAAACAAAGGGGACCTAATGAAACTTCAAAGCTTTTTTGCACAGCAAAGGAAACCGTAAACAAGACCAAAAGACAACCTTCAGAATGGGAGAAAATATTTGCAAATGAAGGAACTGACATAGGATTGATCTCCAAAATTTACAAGCAGCTCATTCAGCTCAATCACAAAAAGCAAACTACCCAATCCAAAAATGGGCAGAAGACCTAAATAGACATTTATTCAAAGAAGATATACAGACTGTCAACAAACACATGAAAGAATGCTCAACTTCATTAATCATTAGAGAAATGCAAATCAAAACTACAATGAGATATCATCTCACACCAGTCAGAATGGCCATCTTCAAAAAATCTAGAAACAATAAATGCTGGAGAGGGTGTGGAGAAAAGGGAACACTCTTGCACTGCTGGTGGGAATGTGAATTGGTACAGCCACTATGGAGAACAGTATGGAGGTTCCTTAAAAAACTACAAATAGAACTACCATATGACCCAGCAATCCCACTACTGGGCATATACCCTGAGAAAACCATAATTCAAAAAGAATCATGTACCAAAAATGTTCATTGCAGCTGTATTTTCAATAGCCCGGAGATGGAAACAAACTAAGTGTCCATCATTGGATGAATGGATAAAGAAGATGTGGCATATATATACAATGGAATATTACTCAGCCATAAAAAGAAACGAAATTGAGCTATTTGTAATGAGGTGGAGAGACCTAGAGTCTGTCATACAGAGTGAAGTAAGTCAGAAAGAGAAAGACAAATACCGTATGCTAACACATATATATGGAATTTAAGAAAAAAAAAATGTCATGAAGCACCTAGGGGTAAGACAGGAATAAAGACACAGACCCACTAGAGAATGGACTTGAGGATATGGGGAGGGGGAAGGGTAAGCTGTGACAAAGCGAGAGAGTGGCATGGACATATATACACTACCAAACGTAAAACAGATAGCTAGTGGGAAGCAGCCGCATAGCACAGGGAGATCAGCTCGGTGGTTTGTGACCACCTAGAGGAGTGCGATAGGGAGGGTGGGAGGGAGGGAGACGCAAGAGGGAAGAGATAATGGGAACATATGTATATGCATAACTGATTCACTTTGTTATAAAAGCAGAAACACACCATTGTAAAGCAATTATACTCTAATAAAGATGTAAAAAATAAATATATAAAATAAAATACAATAAAATAAAATGTGTGTTCCTCTGCATAGAGGAAAGAACAATGCAATAAAGAACCTTCAAAAGATCATTCCAAATTCAGTTTCCCAAATTTGAGAGGAACAAGGTAAGCATATACTATTTACATCTAAACTTTTGCAGGTATTGAATACCTGGCTTTGAACATTGGATTTTACTTAATAACAGAATAAAATTTCTGTAATATAGAAAAAAATTAAGTGTCAAATTATTACCATTAAAACTTCAAAAAGTAAATAAATAAACCAGCATACCAACAAACTAAATTGAACCACGATTTGACTACTTTGGATATAACCACACTGAAGCAATTATTGCAAATTAATGCATACTTACATGATGGGTTGTTCGGAGTTTTTCTATCAATAAGCTCATTAAAATTTAAAAGAAATTCCGTGTTATTATCTGATATTTTAAGATCATTGCAGTAATCTCTGAAAAAAATAGTTTAGGATATTAGGTGGTAAAATCACAACTTTACAAAAATGTACACAGTAAGCATAGGTAGTGAAAACACTTAATTTTTAAACTTTTTACTAGCTGCGTGACTTTGCAAGCTGTTGAATTCTGGCTATCTCCATTTCCTCATCCTTATAATGGAATGATACTTTAACATCAAGTGGTCAGGATTATATATTAAATATATTGACCATTTGAACTCTGGACAGAAGGTGCCCAATAAGTGTTGGCTTCTGTTACTCCTACTGTACTATTGTCATTTTATGTGGTAGGTTAACAATTTACATATAGAAATTAAGACTGAGAAATTTAAAGATATATATTTATCAAATACCTACAACAAACCCATTGTGTTAACGTTTTTTTTGAGAAATTACTGTTTTAAAAAATCGAGTAAAATAAAGTGGCATTGATTTAGTTATTTGCACATATCTGTAATTACTGACTTAAGAAAAGACACTAATGTCTCTGCATTCAGCTGACTGCAAGATTGTTTTGGCACATGAAAAAAGTAAGTGCTCACACAGATCATCAGTTGGAAAGGAGAATTATTTTAATAATCTTTTCAGATAATTGTGGGTGTTCTTTTTTCTTGAGTAACACACTAAAACTTGATTATTTGCAATTTCTTGATTCGTAATTTGTAATATGGAATCTGAAACAATACCAATGAACATTTTGTACTCTGTTAAAATTCAATGCACCATCTTACATTTTGAATGAATCTTTTACCAATCATGATTTTTATCACATCATAAATCGGTTATTTGAAAGATGAATAATGCAGATGTTCTAAACGGTAACATATTTTATTACACAATAATGAAAATTCACATTCATTAATAACATCACTGATCTCACCAGATAAGTCGATAACTATTGGGAAGCTGTCATGCTTACAGTAATGAATATGTAACTTTCCTAAAATTCTAACTTTTGTTTCAAGTTCAGGTTTTGTCATTGGGAACAAATACTTTCAGTTGTTTTCTTCAAAGTAAAAGGCTCACTTAATTGATTTTTGAGAAAATGTCTGCCAAATACCCAAGTCTGAATAACCACAGTTCCTCTGTCATTCATTCTTTCTAGTAAAATGATATCTCATGGAAAAAAAGCAAGAAGCTCCTATTTTAGCTCTCAATTCACACAATTTTTGGAGATAGGCAAGTTACTCTGGTATGCAGTAAAACTTCCTTTTTTTCTTTTTTTACACAGAGTATTAAAAGACATATACTCATGGGTAAACCTCAGTAAAATTAATAATTCTTACTGCTTTAATCAAGGATATTTTAAAGTGACACTGGCTTTTTCCCCAATGTGGGTGCCTGACAATGAAGATTACAGTGGCTACCAGTAGTCTTTAGTACCAATGTCTTGATTCCTGATAAGGTATCAGCTCACCATTGCTTTTGTACTGTCACTGCAAATGTCAATATGATGAAAAACACAAATGCCATTTAACATTGTTAGGAAAACAGCTTTGTCCTTGCAGATTCTCTGAAAGAGACTTTGGAACCCACAGGGTTCTATACTTTGAGAACTGCTGTCCTAAGTGTTTTGGAAATTAAGAATAAATGTAAGGCAACATACATATTATAAGAAGATTACAATTATAATAACTAGGTTAATACAACTAACAGACTGGATAATCAAAATATTCAAGACAAAAATGCAATCAAAAAGTAAACATTTTCAGATGCAAAAAGTAAACATTATCTAAATACAAAGCTGCAGAGAGGAATAGAATGTCAGAACTTCAAAAACAAGACTTCTCGGTTCATGGAAAATTTTCGTTTAGAGACAAGGTTTAAAAAGTTTTCATAATACCCATTAAATTACTGACAGAGCTAAAGTTGACTTCTTCCCACAATGCTATGCTTTTCTGGAAATAACACTAGCCTGGAAGTCAAAAGGCCAATACATTGAACTAGGATCGCACAGAATTAGAAGCTGATGGGAAGGTTTTAGAAGGATTAAATAGAATGTTTTAGAAGGAATAAATGAAATAATTATTAATAAAATCATTAATAAAACATGGAATTTAAAAATTCCATGTTATTGTCTAGAAGGCATTTCTAAAATTTTCTTTTAATCATTTAATCCTAAAAATAACTTTATCAGAAGGTAATTTAATATTTTAGTTGTGAGGAAACTGAGATTCAAAGATGTAAAAAGATTTACCCAAAGGCACCTAACTAGCAAGTGGTCAAGCCCTGAGGGGAAGCCAAGTCTTCAGATCCCTAACTAGTGTTTTAACATAACCTACACTGTGCTTTGAACTTTCACTCTGTGAGCTTTTATAGTTACAAAGCTTCAGGCCAAAAGCAGCTTTGACCTCTACCAACAGAAGGCTGTCAGTGTTGTGAGCAGTTAGTTTAGACAATGTCATCATGTTATGTTTTGTTTCTGTTTTGATCCTTGCTGGCTCGGTTGTGCCCAACTTTGAAGGAGTCTAAAGTTATTATTGACCTTTTGATGTATCCTAATGGCAAAAGCAGTGAAAGTGATGAACTACCATTAAGGAGAGTTGTTGAATTAGGACGTGAGCAGAAGTGAAAGAATTTAAACAACTGCGACGTGAGAAAACACAACGCTGAATGTTGTGTCAGGGGAATGATTTCTCCAGTAATAAGAATGAGCCGGGACAACAGAAAGTCACACACCAGGCAGAGCAGGGTGCCTGTGCACTAGGTAGTAAGTAGCAAGAGCCTGACTGAAATATTTGGGATGTGAATGTACGTCTAGACAGACAGCATCAACATCGGTTGCCTGTTAGCCTAATGATTGTTCAGCATAGGCCTGGGAGCTTGACAACTGGAGATAATCAGCATTTCTTGAGATCTCTCCCAAAGGAACCACCCCAGGAAAGTGCATGACAGGCAATAACTGTGGTTACCACAACTGCTGAGTTCCCTCAGGACGTGTGGGATAGACTTTGCTGATAAACTTTCTATGAGGCACTGTTTTTCTAAAAGAGATCAATCTTACGCGTATTGATCATTACTTTTCTGAGGATTTTTTTTTTTTTTCCCCCCTAAAAAAGATTAAAGTAGCAAGGTGGAGAGACCTCTGGATGGCTTTAAAGGAACAAATTCAATTTCGATTTGCTGAAAATACCTTCAGGGCCTCAAAGCTATATAATCTTTTTTGGTCACTTTGTGTTTCTGACCAAAATGGGATTTGTAACTTAAGTGGCTGTAAACTAAAAGATCTTTGGTATTAGAAATTTGGCCAATTATTTCTTTCTAGAATACTGAAAGTCAGTTTGTTCTCATTCTATTCCACGAACTTACATAGGTCATACATCTCAAATTAGCATTGAATTACTGGTGATCACATACTTTTCTTTCTTATTCTAACTTATCTTTGAAGTGCTTTCTCATTTCTGATTATCCAAGAAAGATAGAAAAATTAATCCATGTTGTAGACTTTCATTCCTATGACTGTAATTCTCTTAAAGATAGGAATAATGCTCCACACATCTGTATTCTCCATGCTTTCCTTTCCAGTAGTTTTCAAAATTTAAGGAAATTGCAAAAACCGAGTACTAATTAGGGTCAAAGAGTTTATTTAAGAATTAACAAAAATGGTTCTACCTTTAAATTTCATGAGCTTTCTTCTTTAAATTATTTTAAAATAACTGCTTTTTAACATCCTTTATTATTATTATTATTATTGGCCACACCACATGCCTTGCGGGATCTTAGTTTCCCAACCAGGGATTGAACCCGGGCCCACGGCAGTGTGCCAAGTCCTAACCACTGGACCACCAGGAAATTCCCATAACATCTTTTATGAAATAACTATCCCTCCTGCTCTGACCTCTTAATATAACCATCAATAATAATAAATAAGGGCTTCCCTGGTGGCGCAGTGGTTGAGAGTCTGCCTGCCGATGCAGGGAACGCGGGTTCATGCCTCGGTCCGGGAAGATCCCACATGCCGCGGAGTGGCTGGGCCCGTGACCCATGGCCGCTGAGCCTGCGCGTCTGGAGCCTGTGCTCCGCAACGGGAGAGGCCACAGCAGCGAGGCCCGCGTACCGCAAAAAAATAAATAAAATAATAATAATAATAAATAATATTTATTTAAGATCATGTCATACCAAGAGGTATGCTAAATATTCTGCATGAAATATTATCTCACTTAAAGCTTATAAAAACTGTACGAGGTAGGTATTATTGTTAGCACCATTTTGTAAGTAAAGAAACTAAGATGCAGAGAATCTGAGTAACACAGCTATGACCATGAAAATCTGGGAAACAGATCCTGAAAGTCTTTCTCTAGAGTTTGCTTCACTGTTTCCCATTAATAACAGTGACAAAAACATATGCCGGATATTCTATGCTACATAAATGTCTCCCTTTTCTCATCAATTTTTTCTTTATCCCAATTTTCTATCAGTTTACTTTCCACAAATCTTTGAATACACATCCAATGCTCATGTTTCCAGGAAATGTTCCCTACAAAAATATTTTATTCAGCTGTACTGGACATTCTTTTGAGATTCCCTAAGTATTTGCATATTCAGTGTAGATATTTATACCTTAGAGTAGCAAGGAAACAGATTCAAATCCCATATTATTTAACATCTCTAAAACTGTTTCCGGATCTGTGAAATAGGATAATATATAACACTAATTTATTATAGAGCTCTTTTCAGGGGTAAATATAATCAAATCATACATGTAAATCATACATGTAAAAGGCTTAACACATGTTAACTGGGGTGAACACTCATTGTTTCTCCCACAAGCTACAACATTTCTTCCCTCCTCTGCTATTTGCTCCTTCCCCGAACACACAGGTGAATTCTAGTCTTCCAGCCAGTCATATTGATATTGAACGTGACAGGCCACAGAAATGATCCATATGGTAATCCTTGCTAAACTATAACAAAATCCACTGTCTATGAACTGGGAATTGAAGTTGAGAGATATATTTATCTTCTCTGGGAATTCCTGGACGTTTACCATGCTCGGAGGGAGAGTCTCATCAACACAGGGCACCCAGTATCTCAACCTCTTCTCACCCCTGTGCTACATTAATATTCCGCTTTCCAGCTAAAACTAGTTTTAGCAGTGGCCCAAAGTTACTTGTATCAAAAAATTGCTAGTAAGATTGCAGGTATTATAATTAATAATGTGATTTTTAAAATACTTTTCATACATTTATAGATTCTCCAGTCGTCAACTATTTATGAGGCCCCCACTGTGTGCCAATCAGTAGATTTGATATTGAGTATTGAATGGTAAGTCAAATAGATGTCATCATGTCTGTGTTGGGGAAAATAAAATGAAATGTGGCCAGTACTCTAGTACGGGAAATACAGGATTCTATGAAGCAGTCAGCAAGGATGTCTAATCCAGTGATGATGGGAAAGAAATTCCCAGATCAAGGAGCTTTGAAGTTGGAGTTTGGGAAGGACTGGAGGTGTGTGTGTTCAATCCAAAATAGAAAAGAAAATTAGTGGATGAAGAGCAGTAAGGAGGAAAACACAATGCATTTTAGGAAATAAGATAAGTTTAGTGTGGCTAGACTTTAAAGCAGAGGTTGACAGACTGTTTCTTAAAGGGCAAGAGAGTAAATGATTCAGGCTCTATGGGCTAAAAGGTCTAGGCCACAACCCCTCGGCTCTGCCTTTGTAGTGAAAGCAGCCACAGGCAATACATCAACAAATGCCTGTGTCTGTGTTCTAATAAAACTTTACGTATAAAGTTTTATACGTAAAACTGCAGGCTGTAGCTTGTCAGCCCCTGATTTAGAGTATAGGGGACCACACTGGTAAACTGGGACCTAGTGACAGAACATTTGAAAGCTTTCCTATACAGCATCGATTATCGTGGGGATAATACGAAGCCACTGGTTAGTATTTAACAGATGAGAAACATAATGTTATTGAAAGTTTAGAGACTCCCTCTGCTTACAGAAAGGAGACAGAAATTGGAAGTAAGGGAGAAATACTGGAGGCAGGGAGATCAATTAAGAGGCAGCCTTAGTAGTTTAAGTGAGGAAGGCACTAGCCTGAACTAGAACAAAGGCAGCAGAGTTTGACAGACATACTTGATACTCATAAGATAAATTCTATGTGGCAAGACTTGTTGATTGACCAGAAGTTCCATATAAAGGAAAGGGAGCAAAGACATCTATCAGGTTTCAAGACTGCGTATTTGGGGAGGACAGTATTTTTGTCACTGAGGCAACACAGAAAGAAGAGTTTTCCAAAGAGGACAAATGTTCAGGAGATCATGAATTTGAAGCACCTTGAAGAGAGATTCCTATTAGGCTCCATAAACATGAAGTCTCATATTAAAATATGTAGGGTAGACATAAAGTCTGAAAATATATAGTTTGATCTTATATTATAATGTAAGGTCAATAAACCACACAGTATGTCTATTTTGTTTCTAGATGTTACCAACATCCTGCAGATCTGGGAGCCATCACCCCAAACTGTAGACACGGAATAGTGGGCGTCTGTGGTATGTCTGTAGACTCAAAATAGGAAGATAAGAGAGCCCAGGCCAGCAGCTTCATATGAGTGATGTGCACAAGAAGGGAAGCTCATGAAAGAGACTGAATATGCAGCCAGGGAGGGAGGAAGAAAACCAGAAAAGTATGTCATTAAGCAAGAGGAGGCAGAATGTCAAAGCGTGGGATCAGCAGTGTCCAAGCCTGAAGGCAGTTCAAGCAGGAACACTGCTCGAGGGCAGAGTCACTCACAAAGCCAGAAATATGCTTAGTTAACAGAGATTTCTCAAAAAGTTATATATATTCCCTACTTTCAATAAGAACCAAAAATTCAGATAGTCTTATGCAGAAATAAAAAGAAATAATAACTGAGACCAGTTTTTAGGAGCCTTCTTAGAGCAATTTCTTTACGAAGGAAAAATTGTGAGAATTGGATACTACAAGCTTCTGAATCTATTTTATTCAGTAGCCTAGGATAATAGGAATTCTGTTGATTTGTCTTATTACATGTGTCTGATGGAGAGTGGGAGTCAAAAACTAAGGAAAGAAATAGAAATAAAGAATAATCTTGGATTCTTGAATGGAGTTTCAAATAATTATAAGAAAACAGAGGTAGAGATGAAGATGTATATTAGAGCTACGGAAGGGGGATTATAAGCGAGAGAAGTAAAATTGGTTAGGAGGAAAGAATGCTAATCTTAAAAATTATGTGAGAAAATCTCACTGTATTAAAATATATTTCCCAAAAACTTGTGTTAAAAAAATCAATGATGTTAAGTCATTCTATGAGGCATACACATTCTTGTGTATATATACACATATATGTATATATCTGTACATATCTATGCATATCTATCTCAGTGTGTGTGTGTGTGTGTGTGTGTGTGTGTGTGTGTGTGTGTGTGTATGTGTAGAGAGAGAGAGACAGAAAGTGAGTGAGAGTTTGTATGTGTATACATAGTCACAAATGCCAATTCACAACTCTTCGTTTTGGATATACTGTTGGTTCCAACAAAAGCAAAACCTCCATCTGTCCTATTCACTGCTGTATCCCCAAGTCAGCATATTCTTTAGCACACAGTAGCTAAGTACCTGAATGAGTAAATGAATGAAAGAACAGCATTCTCTTTCAGTTTTAAATTTATTGTTTCCTTTGGTTCCATAATTTGGCATGGCATAATCCACAGCAGTCTTGACCCCAGCTCAGACCTGTTCTTGAAGCCCTACATATCCACAATGAGCTATAAAAAAAGAAAACAAAAGAAAACAAAACCTACCTTGGTGCTAGGAACGTATAGCCAGATTCTTCAAAATTATCCGGCTTCAGTGTTTCTGAATCTGCAAAGATAATGTTACAGCGTTAGACAAACCGGAATATGCATCCTGAGATTTGATGTCAATAGGAAGGCATTAGAAAAATAACCTTACACGGAAAAATAAAAACAGACTATTTCCATCCTAAACTGAAACACATGAATGAATATAAAGATCCCCAACACTTTACAGTAATAAACTCAATTTTAATTTCATAACATGGATTACAACAGTTATATCAAAGACAATGTTAGGTCTATAATTTTCCCATTTACTAACTAACCCTACTATAACCAAGATATCCTTTAAAAAGTGACTTTTGTCAATGTTACACCAGAGGTATTTATTTAAAATGTCAAATATTTTACCAATATCATGATAAAGAAAATGATTTTAATAAACCCATTAATGCCTTTAGTGAATTAATAGTATTCTTCATATTAGTATGAATTAGAAAGTAGAAGGATAAAAACACACAAGTATTTAAGAAAAAAAGAAAGTGAAATAGGTTACGTATATAAACACAGGCATATTCTTTCCCCCTTTTTTGCCGCTAAGGTCTGAGTGATCATGGAGGAAAATCTAGCAAATGAGAAGCACAGAGGATAGTATCCAATAGGAATGGAAATATCAGTGGAAATGTCAAGTGTACTAAACAAAAAGAAATTGAGCAACAAGAAAATACTTGCCCTTCATTCTGCCCTTTTTTGCTGTGAAAATCCATCAGAAAGAGAAAGCAGGGAAACAAAAAAAAAAAGAGGGTAAAAAGCAAAGGGGGGTCACAAACAATATTTTATTCAATGACTTTCTTGAATAAAAATATTGTGCATAGATCAAAGGTTTATTTATGTACAGCTGTAGTCTGCAAGAAAAGACACATATTTTTGAAGACTGGAAAATATGTCCTGTCAATTACTAGAGCACCCTCTCTGTACTGTGGTTATTTCAAGGGTCTGTTTTGCAAAGTGGCTAACACAAGTGCAATACCAATGATGCTAGCCTATAAACAGAAGCATTTACCAATCATCAAAGACCCACTAGGCACCCCCTCATTTATCAAGTGAAGAACTAGCTCATGCAAAGTTGGTGGCTGTTAAAAGACCATCATATCTATCTATCAAGTGAAAGCGGCAATATAAAGGTCTAAATTACCACAATGTGCAATGAGAATCAGGACTGCAGAGACCAAAAAAGAACTGACAGAGAAAGGAAAGAAACTGTAGTTCATGTACAGTCAGAGGTAAAAGGTATATACATATATATATATATATATGCATATATATATTTTACTTTATCGTAACAGACAAAATTTAGGTGGTTAGGAATAATTGAGTGATATGCAAAGGATATGATGGTCATTTTACTTTACTGAAGCTAGTCACCCAAAACAAAGATTAAAATGACTTGAAATATGCACTAGTGTTAATAATTACTCCACATTCCAAATGACGCTTAAAAAAAAAACCAAACTGATCCATTTGAGTTACTGAAGACATTAATTTGGATAATTAGAAGAAAGTTAATTGCCAAACCAAAGCCAAAGACCAGTAAAATTTAATTTATTCCAACAAAGTCGATGATGTGGAGCATAATATCATTCTTGCCAAATGCAAAAAAAAAAAAAAAAAAAAAAAAAGAAAGAAAAGAAAAACTTTACTACTACCAGCAGAGTGCCATGAGTAGAGACTGTGTGAAACATTTTGTGCCAGCTAGCAGACCCTTAAAACAATAGCAACAGAGGACACAGCACGGCAATGATTCTATGAGCACAAAGCAAGGCAGGGGAGGGTGGTAGGGACTGCCAGTGAGACTGGAGTACCTGCTCATATTCTATCCATGTAGAATACTTCTTGTTCCTTGCATGTTTGGAATGGGTTAGAATCATTGCTGTTGATTTGGTAATAACACCCACTAAAATGTATAAGCCTTGGGTATTCCAAAGTCTAGACGTATTTAAACCTCTGGTACTAGGAGATAACAAACAGACCCTGAAGTTGCTTTCACAGTACTTACATCTGGCCTGAGTTATTGTCTCTTCTATTTTGGCTTTTATATAGTAAAAACTGTAGGTTGGTAATACCAAGGCCAAACTGCAATAGAAACAAGAGAAGCATAAACACAAACAAACAAAAATGAAACATAACTTAAAGAAAAAAGACACATCGTAAGTTCATGGAAAATCCAAAGATCTTCCTCATGGGAAGGAAAAGACATATTACTTTGACAGGAAAATGCTTTCACCAAATAGGGTACTTAATTTGGTCTTGCCATCCAGTTCTCTACATTGTAGAGAATCAGAAGAGACACATGGAAAGTAAGCTACAAAATGTGCCCATAAATCAGCTGAAGAAGAAATGTCATGGATACTGTATTTTCAGAAAACTATATTAAAATACTTTGTGGACAAAAATAGAAGAATACTAGGGCTACGTTTAAGCAAAGTAATTATATCATGCCAATTGGCTATCCTCTCCCTAATGAATTATACATAATGTTACAGTGCTTGCTAGCAAATGTACACTACTAAAAATTACAAATGAAAGATTATTATCATTACTAACTACACAATGCATAAAATCATCTGAAATAGTCTCTTTTGAGGGGTTAAATACCTAATATTGTACAACTCTTTTCTAGGCCATTTCCCCCATGTCTTTTGGAAGGGAAATTCAGGCTCCTTTATAGCACCTGCTCATCCCATTGGTTCTTACCCAACAGTGTAACTGTATTTATTTCAAGTTCATTAACTGTGGATATCCCGTATCATTTGGCAGATTGCTGTTAGGCACAGTAGGAAAAACACCTTGACTTTAATAGTTTACAAGAGCCATGGGTTACTCTAGTCCCATGGTACATGTACACACTGGAGGAAAGCTCCAGTGCAAATCTTAAGCCAAATTCTGAACATTTTAGACGCAAGGACTGTCAAACAAGCCTGTCATCCAAACCTGTCTTATTATGACTGTACAAACTAAAAAGGTGACAAGCAGGTAACCGCACTCATTTTGAAGCTGACAATTAATAAAACACACAAAATATTGGAATTGTTAAAAGATATCAGAATATGAGGCACTTTCCCGTAACAACTGCATATGTGTAATTCTTCTACTCTCACGATGGCTGATACACATGTGCAGAACATAACTAATTATTCCACATCCATACTCACAGTTGCAAATGGTCTCTGCTATCCTTTGAATACAGAAGGAAACGAACGAACTAATGCCAAAAATGAGGTTATCTCTAAGATTTCCAATGCAACTATTATTAAAAAACGACAATTAATATGAGCAATTGAGTTATTCAGCATTTTTTTTTTTTTTTTTTTTTTTTTTTTTTT